TCTCCTTATTTTGCTTTAGAAACTAAAGACATTTTTCACTTACGTACAACCGCCCAACTGTGCTAGAACTTTTTTCAATTTTTCGATTCAGGCAATCAGAATTGCAACGTAATTATACCCCTTCGTGTGCAGGGAATGCATATCTCCAAGTTATCTATCGAATTGTAAAGCAAAGTCTTTCTTAAAAACTTCTTCGCACATTATCGAGACCTATAAAGGTGATCCTAACTGCAGATAGTTCTACACAAAACTCACTTTGTCTCGCCGAGTGCCACGCTCTACTATTTGATTTATGTAGTGTTTACCCAAGCTCACAACATGTCTCTTCAGATTAACATATCCGCCTGTGTTGCTTAGAACACCGGTTTAGTAGACCTGGCTTTTCGACAGACTATTCGTGCCCGGAGAATTCAGCGGATCACACTCCAAAGCACCGATGTGAAAGACGACTTTCCATCCTGTAGTACTTGCCAACGTTTTCGAGACCTTGGTGGACTCCAAGACCGCCGAAGAAGTGGAAGACCTCGTACTGCTCGCACGCCGAAGGTCGTCGAGGCCGTCAGAAAGGAGATAGCAAGAAACGCGACTCGGAGCATCTCGACGATGGCTCGTGACATGGGGATCTCGCGGAAGTCAGTAGAAAGGGTCGTCCACGANAAAGCACGAGTACGGATTCGAGTGCAGTCCGCCATCTAGCCTTCTGCCTAACTGGATAATTTATCAGTAATCACCAGTTTGCACCTTTTTCTAGCGATCATCTACGTACTCTCGGTGTAATCTGACCTCAATACCGGTGCTGCAGGCTGTGTCAGCCCTGAATGGGGTCGACGTAGCCGTCCAGACGCTAACGCAGGTGTTTCCGCAACTCTGCAACATAGATAGACCAGTGTTCGATTACCTTAGAGTCCTGCAAGAAACGAGTCGGACCTTCACCGAATTTTCTCAACGGGGAAACAGCCTTTCGGGGAGTCTTCGAGAGTCCTCGTCTGCGACACTTAAGCAGGGGAGAGACTCTTGAAACTGCTTCACAACTCGACGCATTTGATCATCGTACAAGCATAAGTTGTAAGGAAAAAGTTCCATAAGAAGTTATGATTCGGAAAAAAGGGAACGTATAGATTCACGGTGACATGTAGTAAACACCGATGGTAGGTTGGTTGATTATGAACGAATCTGACTGCTCCCAGGATAAGTTCATTGTCAATATCTTCATGTCCGGAGTTGGACGATATGTCAGAGACCCTAGATTAGTCTCCTTGAAATCAAGCACACAGCAGTCTTAATCTGATGAACCTCTCCTTATTTTGCTTTAGAAACTAAAGACATTTTTCACTTACGTACACCCGCTCAACTGTACTAGAACTTTTTTCAATTTTTCGATTCAGGCAATCAGAATTGCAACGTTATTATACCCCTTCGTGTGCAGGGAATGCATATCTCCAAATTATCTATCGAATTGTAAAGCAAAGTCTTTCTTAAAAACTTCTTCGCACATTATCGAGACCTATAAAGGTGATCCTAACCGCAGACAGTTCTACACAAAACTCACTTTGTCTCGCCGAGTGCCACGCTCTACTATTTGATTTATGTAGTGTTTACCCAAGCTCACAACATGTCTCTTCAGNTTAACATATCCGCCTGTGTTGCTTAGAACACCGGTTTAGTAGACCTGGCTTTTCGACGGACTATTCATGCCCGGAGAATTCAGCGGATCACACTCCAAAGCACCGATGTGAAAGACGACTTTCCATCCTGTAGTACTTGCCAACGTTTTCGAAACCTTGGTGGACTCCAAGACCGCCGAAGAAGTGGAAGACCTCGTACTGCTCGCACGCCGGAGGTCGTCGAGGCCGTCAGAAAGGAGATAGCAAGAAACGCGACTCGGAGCATCTCGACGATGGCTCGTGACATGGGGATCTCGCGGAAGTCAGTAGAAAGGGTCGTCCACGAAGATCTTAAGATGTACCGCTAGCGTGCTGGCCGTGCTGGGGAGGCTGCTATCCTCAGCGCCTCTAATCAGGAGGCGCGAGTCAAGAAGTGCCGACAGCTTTTGCTTCGGACGCGCAACAAGGGCCAGCATTTGAGCGTCTTTTCGGATGAGAAGCTCTTTACTGTCGAGCAGCAAGTCAACGCTCAGAACGTCGGAGTGATCGCAAGGAATGCCGAGAAAGCCAACAAGGAAAGAAATCGTTCATCGGGCCGCTCACTCTGCCCAAGTCATGGTTTGGGCAGGGATTGTGCCTCGGGGAAGGCGCCGTTAATATTCGTCGTCCCGGGCGTCAAAATCGACAAAGATTCCTACCTGAAGACGATTTTGGAAGATGCTCTACTCCGTTGGCGAATTCCCACTTCAATGGCCGCCCGTGGACATTCCAGCAAGATTCGGCGCCCGCATACAAGGCCAAGGTCGTCCAAGCGTGGTGCAAGAGCGAACTCCCTGACTTCATCTCGGCAGAAGAATGGCCGGCATCGTCATTGGGTTTGAACCCACTGGACTATAACTTGTAGTCCTACCTTGAGAGCAAGGCCTGCGCCACTTCCTACCCTGATTTGGATTCTCTGAAGGCAGCGCTCATCCGAGAATGGGACGAAATCGACGACGCACTCCTGCGTCCGGTTATCGACGCCTTTCCCAATCGACTCCGCTCTGTCGTCCGTGCCAAAGGTGTCTGAATCGAGAAGTAACTTATGATTGTTAATGTGTCAGTTGTTACTTAATAAATGTTATGTTCATGACTCGTTTGCACTTTTGCATTTTGAGATATAAGGTGAAACCCTTGTCGCTATATTTATGGAAAACCCTGTAACTCCTGATCCCTTTTACAAAGAGCATTAAAACTTGGAGTATAGGCGATAGGATGGAAACACTTGTGGTAGGTGGCAGGACCGGACTCCACTCACAAGGGGCGGGGTTTACGCGACGAGGATTCTCATTTTGAAAGAAGACGTTCAAATTCGGCAAGAGCATAGGTGGCAGGATGAGAACACTAACGGTAGGTAGCTGCATTGAAAGCCGCCCGCAGGTGCGAGGTTTGCACGATTTAAAGGTGTGAGCGAAAACTCATAACCGCTGTTCCCCTTAAGCTGGAGTGTTCAAAATTTGGTACGAGTACATGCGGCAGGATGAGAACACTTCGTTGGGTGTGGCAGGATAACTCCGCCCATAACGCTGGAGCGGAGTTTGCGCGAGGTTGTCATTTTGAGGTTAGAGCGTCTGAATTTGGTGAGAGCACAGGAAGCATGAAGAGAGCACCGATCGTGGGTGGCAGGACTGCAGGACGGCGGAGCGGGCAAAAATTGCCAGTGTGAAGCTAGAGCGTTCAAATTAGGTAGGTGTGTAGGGAGCAGTATGTAAACACTATGGTGTTCGGCAGGACCGTATTCCTCCCACAGTAGGAGGGGCTCGAGGGAAATAATTGTTTGAGTGGAAATGAGATCTGTTTCTGTAGAATCGGAGAGCTCAAAAGTGGTAGGGAAAGAGGGAAGTCCTGATTCAGCAGGGCAACCCGACTGGTGTCTGAATAGAACACCAATTCCTCATATTTCTGCCTGATGTTGAATATTCGGAGTAAAGGACGCAACGACGATAAAAGAGGTCCTAGAGAGCAAGAACCACTCTCCAATTAAATCCTCACGCCTTTGTTATTTACGATCTAGCTTTGACCCCGACATGCTTTTTATTCGATCAGAAGGGTAAATGCAGTATCATTGACCGATTAAGGGTACTAAATAACAATGAGATGAAAGTTGATTCATTTCCTGCTGTTAGTTCACGACCACTACCCACCGAATTTTGTGACTCAACGAAGAATCACGTTTGTCTTTGCTGCGATATCATTATTATCACACCGACAGTTAATCTTACACTCAAATTGTCTTCTAATGATATCTGCAGGGAAAGGAACTTCCATTGATAAAGATATTTGGTTATGGTTTTTTTATTGACTCGACAGCACTTGTGAGTACCATTCAGGGCCTTCGTTGCAGATCAGAACCTTCGATATGTCATTATTTTCAAGATGATTAGCAACAGATCAGACTTCTAATCATGGGCATAAGCATCGGCACTTCAAATACCCCATTTGTTCCTTTTTAGTCCCCTGTCGACTTTCGTGTAAAAAGTACCATTTGTTCCATATAAGGAGGGGCCGACTTGCCGATTATTACTGCTCTGCCATAAGAAAGGACTTTTCATTTGAATTTTATATTTCGTAGAAATAAACGATTAGCGTAAACTTGAAGCATTGAACAAACTTATAATAGTAGAGCAGCCCTCTAACATCAATCACTGAACATAAACATCTTATGCGTCGCTTGAGCACTCGGTTGACTATATTAACGAGGACAAAACAATACTCTGACAAAGATGACAGGGTATAGACAAATGTTCATCAGAGCACCAACTTTCCATGTAGCCTTGAGTGTACCCTCAGGTTAATCATAGGTTAATCATAACTTCTTCCCACAGAAAATAGGTTTAAAAGTGGGCTTTCTATGAGAGTGATCTGAAACAGAAGCTCCATTTTCATTAACAGTATTCGAGTAGGCTCTATCCATATCTCCCTAGTTTCAGGAGCGCCTGTGTAAGTCTAAGCCGATGACCATGATGATTCGTCCTGTTAGCGAAGAGCAGAGAAGAAAATCGAAGCGTACTGTAGAAATAGCAGAATGTGCTGCAGAAAACAAGCTCCAGTCGGTCGTGGTGAGAGCGATCTTAGAAGTTTCTTACAGTGGCGTTCTAAAGTTTGGTGAATTCCAAAGTGGATTGATTGCGATCAACAAACTCTCCCTAATTATTCTTGAAAATTTTTAGATATAGATTATCAACGTCAAATAAGCAACTGTTTTGTTTTCGTTTCTAAATCACTTCCTCTGTTCGTATAGCTTCTAAAATTGCTACCTAAAATTTTCTTCGGATTTAATTCATAAGGATAGGGAGTTAAAGAGGTTCACAACAGCTGGTAAAGAATAAAGAGATATCAAAAGGTTTCAGTTTTTCAGATGTCTGAGTGACGCTCCCATGAGTTGGAAAGAAGTCCAAAATCTAACGTTCGAATTCAATGAGTTTCAAACAAAATGCTCATTGAATTTGCGTCGTCAGGGTTGTTAAAGATTTGTCTGACCATCTCCCAATATTGCGCAACCAGAAGCCAATCATGTGAAACCTTCAGGCCAATAATGCTGTTAAGCGGTCCACCTAAAAATTCCGAAAATATTATGATCATGGGTGGGTATCCCGAATTGAGAGGAGGAAGGGGACAAAGCGACAATAACAAGCGTTTATGGTTTCATTATTACCACTGCATTGCATCCTTAATTCTTTCTTAGACAATTGTGTCCTGTATTATGGCTTCAGTCTTTGCTGTCCCCAATAGCAAAGAATAAAAGTAGATTAAGAGATTAAGATTTTCCTAAAGCTACCTGAATATTAGGCGCTGGAGCTTTCATCCTTGAATTACTATAATACCTGTAGTCAATTTCATCCTTAGAATGAAGATGTATGCGATCGTGCGTTCCTGAATATCCACCGGATTTCGAGTGGAGTCGTGTTCGTACCATCTGGTTTGTTGAGGTTGTTGTTTTACTGACTTTCTTTTTCTAACACTTGGAACCTTCTAGAAGAAATACAGTATTCACGCTAAAATGAAAAAACATTCCGATTTTGGTTGGCTTTCCAGAATGTAAGAAGTGAGAATGACACAGCTAGGTCTCTCCCATCGACGCAACTAAATTTAACGGTGTGTGTACTATGGATATGTGGATAAATATGAGTTTATAGGAACAGTACGCATATTCCAGGGCATTGGAGCAAGCTATGATGGAACACGGTCACTACCTGAACAAGGGAGTGAGCTAAGAACATTGCACCTCCACGAGCAACTCTCGTGAATGACCCTTCAGGCAACGACGGAAGGCTGCTAAAGAAAATCTGTTGAATGAAGTTAAAAAGAGATTAATGAACCGACGATGATGATTATCGACCAATCTTTTAAGAAAACATTCTTTCGCTCTCTGAAGGCTGGTTCTAATTTCCATTTGGAAAACGCTAGCTCAGTATGGACAGCGCTTTTAAGGCGCTTTATCAGCTCCTTCCAACTGTTATCACCTCTACCACTGAGCGTCAGTAATTTGGTCCTGTCGCCTAGTCTCCTATCAAGTTTCAACGTTCTAGGTCCACGCAAACAGGAGTTATGAATTCGAGTTCAAAAACCTTTATCACGCACACGCCGCCCCCTATAGGCGGAGTCCGGTACTGCCGTCTACCATAAGTGTTCCCATCTTGATTTTAGTACTCCTATCCAATTTAAACGCTCTCGGTCCACGGGGCAGGAGCTATCATTTCCCGGTCACATAGACAGACAGACAGACAGACAGACAGACAGACAGACAGACAGACAGACAGACAGACAGACAGACAGACAGTCAGTCAGTCAGACAGACAGGCAGACAGACAGACAGAGAGACAGACAGACAGACAGACAGACAGACAGACAGACAGACAGACAGACAGACAGACAGACAGACAGACAGACAGACAGACAGAGAGACAGACAGACAGACACGCACACACACACACACGGATTAGCGATTATATTAGGTTGTTCGGAAAGGAATGCGCGCTAAATTTGTCCATTCATTTCTCCCCTCATCAAATTGGATCCACACCAAACCACCCGAGAACTGGCAACACATGTTGGCTGCTCAAACTCTATCATCCATGAGCATTTGCTGCAATTGGCAAGAAGAACAGGTGCGGAAAATGGGTACCGCACCAGCTGGGCGACCCAAACCAGGCAACACAAGTGGCGGTGGCCGAAATTCTTCTTCATCGCTCCGAGAACAGCGGTTTTTTCAACTCTATTA